GAACTTCCCAAATATGCCTAGTTGTCCATTATATGACATTAAATTCTGTATTGGATGGGCTTTTGGCTTGATTCAACAGAACCCTTGTAATTTTATGATTCCAATTGAGTTAGACCCAATTTGCATTGGCCTACTAAATACAGTAATTAGAGATATGTCCCAGTATTGAGTATGTGAGCATAGGCTTGCACAATGTTCCCTAACATCAGTATTCTATCAGCCTTCATCATGTTCTCTCTCTTTCTCTCCCTTGACAATGTGGAACATCACGTTGTAAGAATTATTGAGATTACTCGAGAAATTTTTGAATGCTTGACATAGTTGGTAAGTTATGATGTGTGATAACTTATCGTCCACAGCAGTAAGTAAATTCAGACAGCAAAATTTACATATTACCCTTAGATGCTTTTTAACACAGTTAAGAATATTTGAAAGCTGCAGTTCTCCACAAACTGTTCTGACAATTGGTCCCATTAAATGTATTCTTGAGCATTTGTTTGTTTGTTTGTTTGTTTATAAAATTTATTGGCCACCCATCTTACCACAGGTAATTTATATACATACATACATACATACATACATACATACATACATACATACATACATACATACATTTTAGAGGTTGACTGACCCCAAATGATTCTGGGTGATTTACATTTAAAAAACAAGAATGATAAAAATATACCAGCCATTCTGATCTAAGAACACAACTTGTCTTTAGCAAACAAGACCTGCTACGGGAACTCAGCCACCACCCTGCCCCAAGGTCTGGGAGAACAACCAGATTTTCAGTCACTTTCTGAATGTCATCAGGGAAGGAGCCAGACAGAGTGATCTCTGGAGAGATGCTGTTGTGACACACAGGCAGTCCTTGAGTTACAACCATAATTGAGCCTGGCAATTACAATCATAAGTTGTGACGGGTAGTAAAATAGGTCATCACCCAATTTTATGACTTTTGTGAAGCAGTCATTAAGCAAATGTGGAGTGATCTGCTTTATTATAACTATCATGACCTAGGACTGTAACTGTAAGGCTCAACTGCAGTCGTAATTTGAGGGATATCTTTACAGGATTGCACTGGAGGTCTTCTTAATAATACTATGTTTGTTTGTTTGTTTGTTTGTTTGTTTAAATCAGGATTATTTCTTAGGAATACTACCACAGTGACCATTCAGGAATTATAATGGACTGAATCCTGTCAGGATTACATGAGACAAGAATGGTCTTTTTTAATTGTGTCAGAACTGAAGAAGCTTCTTGGAACCTCTTCAAGGAAAAACAAAGTCCAGTTGCTTTTTGAAAAAAAAACACCATTGGGACAACCATGGCCTGGAATCTGGATGACTGAGAATCTCTATAGACAAGAGACAGGAACCTCTTGTAAGAAAGAGCTTCTTATACCATTATAACCAAATGTTATTCCTCAACGTACACCACCCATGCCATCCTACTTAAGTTCAATGCACACATCACTAAACTTGAGATTATTTATGTACTTGCTGTTCCAGATCCTTTCAGACATCACATGGGTTTTTAATAATATATACTGTTCTAAATCATGTTAATTGACAACGTTTATTTTTAAATTTCAAATTTGGCATGGTCTTTGCAATATAGGCTGAGAAAAGCTTGACTGAACATTGTAACAAAGAAGCCACTATATGTAGAATAATTCACCGCTCAGGTTTTCACTTGCTAATCGCTTTTCTTTTAAGGTGTCCTATGAAAAAAGTGCCCATGGTCATAAAATATTGAAGTATGAAAGAGACAAAATAATAAAGGAAACAAGTTTGACATTTCCAAATGATGAAAAAAAGTGTTCCCTGAATGCATTTTCCTGCATTCAAATGGCTGATATCAATGATCAGTTTAGTTAATTTCGTCTTCTTTTCCTTCCTCACCACCCTAAATATTCTCCTGTCACTTTCCTCCTAGTAAAATCAAAATATTGGCAAGCCAACAAACTTCTGAGGTCATGTTGTGCCCATAAGCACTTATTAATGGAAGGGATTTCACAGCCGGTGCTCATGTACACACAATCATTTGTGACAGCATTTAGAATATCATTAGTAGGCCATCAGTATTAATTACTCCTGCTCAGAGTGTTTACTTGACCAAACAACATAGCAGTTATTAACAGGGGTAATAATTACTGCAATGGTAGAGAACCCATGTGTGGGGTTAGTGATATGAAAATACTGCCGATCGTAGCCATTTCTGTAACCATCAAGACAGAATTATTGCCAGTGATTTAGGAGCTGGGTCATTAATTTCAATATTTGCAAACAGGTTAATTCTATTAGTTGTTATCCTAGCTATAGTTCTTAGTATGCTGCGCTTTCATAACTTTGTGAGGTTGTTCTCAATACCTTTGTTCTAAACAGAGTAACAGAGTTGCGAGGGACCTTGAAGGTCTAGTCCAACTCCCTACTTAAGCAGGAGACCCTATACCACTTAAGACAAATGACTGTCCAATCTCTTATTAAAAGCCTCCAGTGATGAAGCTCCTACAACTTCTGAAGGCAAGTCTTTCCACTGATTTATTGTTCTCACTGTCAGGAAATTTCTCCTTAGTTCTAGGTTGTTTCTCTTCTTGTTGAGTTTCCATCCATTGCTTCTTGTCTTATTTTCTGCTTCTCTGGAGAATAGATTGGACCCCTCTTCTTTGTGGCAGCCCCTCAAATATTGGAACACTGCTTTCATGTCACCCCTAGTCCTTATTTTCAATGGACTAGTCCTGGGGTAGGCAACCTCGGCTCTCTTATGACTCATGGACTTCAGTTCCCAGAATTCCTGAGTCAGTCAATTCTGGGAGTTGAAGTCCATGAGTCATAAAAGAGCTGAAGTTGCCTACCCCTGTACTAGACTTACTAAATTTCTGCAACTGTTCTTCATATGTTTTACCTCCATGTTTTAGCCTCCAGCCCCTGAAGGATTTGAAAACTTGAAATGCAGATGCTAGAAAGAATCTTCCTGAAGAGTTCATCAAGAGAAACATGATATCACAACTGGGAAATGGTTCATCTACCAGAAGTTTAGTGATATCTAATTTAAACAAATATCATCATCATATAGCCTATGGGCAATTCTATATCTGATGAGTTTTTCCCCATGGCCCCCTATAGTCTTTTCCAGTTCCATGTCCTCCATCGTTTTTGATAAGAATTCAATATATCTGAAGGACACCAGTATAGGAAAACTGATGTACTATACAGTTTCCACTACATCACAATGGATTCTCCATCTTGAATGTTGAAGTTTGAAGTTACAGGGCACTTGAAAAAAGGTGACTTGTGACTGGTCCACACACTTAAGCACTTTTGTAGGATAGCCATGGTCACAAGATCAAAAGTCAGGTGCTTGGCAATTGGCGTGCGTTGACAATGGTTGCAGTGTCCCAGTGTCACATGACTGGCATTTGTGATCTTCCCAACTTGCTTCCAAAAAGCAAAGACAATAGGGGAAGCCAAATTCACTTAACAACCACATGATTCATTGCATTGCCTAACAACCATGGCAAAAATGGTCGCAAACTCTGGCATGATTCACTTAACAACCACCTTGCGTAGCAAAGAAATTCTACTTGTGGTTGTAAGCTGAGGACTACCTTTATCAGGCTCAAGGAGAGAGCACTCCCCTGTTTATTGCTGACTATTAAGAAGCTATTTCTCTGCAGCAACAGGGTCTAGGGTCAGATGTATCATACAGCAGAGAAAGGCTGATCTTTGCCTGTCCTGAAAGAGCAGGAAATTGTTCATGATTTAATGTGTTATTCCTCCAGATTTATGGCAAGGAGAGGAGGATGAAGGATTTTCTACTGCAAGTACCAAAATGAATCTTATTTTGAGTAGAAGATATTCTATTGCCTGCTTTAGTTTAGGCAGCAAATGTCTTAAGATATTCCCTGGAGTGAAAAAACAGATGTTATTGGAGTACAACTCCCCTTGTTAATGGGGCCACTAGTCAGTAATTATGGGAATAGTATAACAGCCAAAGTAAGTTGATTGATATAGGCTTCCATCTGAATTTATGTAAGGGTTAAAGTCCAGGATTGTCAATCTTTTGGTGGCCAAGAGCTGCAGTTAATTTTGGGGAAAGCAAGAATCAAAGTGGGTCAAGCAATAATGGACAAAGGATCTATCTATCTGTCTGTCTGTCTGTCTGTATCTATCTGTCTGTCTGTCTGTCTGTCTGTCTCTATCCATCTATCCAAAATTCTATAACCCACACAACTCAATCAAGCAATATGAGCAGTTTACAATTCCTTATGTTTCTGGAGACCTGAATGGGGGTCTTTGCTTAGCTAACTATGTTAAGCCAATCTTAATTTATCTGTCTTTCCTTTCTCAGAATAGCAAGAAACCATGCAATTGATTTTAAGCAATTTTAGTTCATGGTGATTATGTTCCAAGGGGTCATAACAAGTGATTCAAGAATCTGTAGTTGCCTGTTGTTAACCCTATCAGGAAAAAAAATGCTTGAAAAGAAAACAAAAATGTGTTTTGTTTCAAGCACAAAATAAAACATCTCATCTAGAGCAGTCCAGTCAAACATTTCAAACTGGTTATCTTTTGACAGAAAGAAACTCTGATCAGTTTGTGTGCTATATGTTTCGTTGAAACAAGGCTCAAAACATTTTGAGTATTTTGGCCATAAGAAACCATGGAAACACAGAAGATGTATCTTGCTCCCTTCTTTTCTCTCCAGTATTACAAGAATAGATATGGTAGCAGTTCAGCCGGAGTGCAGCCACCAAGCCAGATTGCAGAAGAATTGGTAGAGAAAAAGAAATAAAATATTTTTGAAAACACCATCACAAAAGCATGTATTTCAATCTCCTATCTTGCTTTCCTTTAATCCAAATATGAGGCTATCTTTCTTCCTTTGTCCACTGATATAATAATTGAAAGAAACATGCTGAGAGATTACTAAACTGGTGCATCTTAAAAAGAAAGAAAGAAAAAGAACACACAGAGGCTGTAATTTCTCTTACGCACCTTTCAAATCAATTTCCTCCTCCAGGGTAGGAAGACATCCTGGAAGAAAATGAATTCCAGTCAGTCCATTAATCAAACAAACAAACAAACAAACAAACAAACAATCTGTATATGTATGTGTATGTGTATATATGTGTCTGTATGAAGAAGAACAAAACAAAAATTAAACAACCCAAATAAAATAGCACTAGCAATAGTACTTAGACTTACCGTATATGCCGGCGTATTAGGCGACCCGGCGTATAAGACGACCCCCGTCTTTATAGCCGGGCCGCATTCCTAGAACGTCGTCTTATACGCCAGAAACTACCAGTATTTCCGGTGTATAAGACGACTCGGCGTATAAGATGACCCCCGTCTTTGGCGCCGATTTTAGTGCTCGCAGAAGTCGTCTTATACGCCAGCATTTACGGTATATACTGCTTCACAGTGCTTTATAGCCCTCTCTAAAAAGTTTACAGAGTCACCATACAGTCCCCAACAATCTGGGTCCTCCTTTTACCGACCTCAAAAAGATGGAAGGCTGAGTCAACCTTGAGCCAATGAGAATCGAACTGCTGGCAGTCAGTAGAGTTAGCCTGCAATACTGCATTCTAACCACTGCTCCACCATGGCTCTAAAATGCTTTCTGGAATAGCTTTTTTTAAAAACATTTTTCTGAATGCACTTAAGAGGGGCCATTCCTGAAGACTGCCAGTGATCCGCAAATGTAGCACTTCCTTACTTCAGCTTCCTCTAGTTATTGATGGTGGAGCACTAGGAGTAGCTTTTTTCAATACCATGCAATAGATTAGGCCAATTCAGATTAGAGCAGGTTTTTGTGTTTCGGGATTTGAGGCATTGAAGCACGACACATTGTAAAGCAAACTTCTTTATTTCTCCTTAACTCCACACCAAGGAATCTGCAAACAGGCACGCAGGCCTTTTATAGTTTTCCAACCCCCCGGCAGTCCAGCCAATAGGAATCCTTCTTTCTTCGCGCCTTGCACATGCGCAGTAGTCCGGCGCCAGCCACTCTGGTCCCGGGCAGCTTTTTGGTTGCCTGGGACCATTTGCAACATTTCTGGGCCTGCTGAGTTTTCTCATCAGGCCCAGGACACAACACAGGTGATCCTGTAAATACCCAGGTGCCAAGCCATAATGGAAACAGAGTAAGCCTCTTCTTAACATAAAATGGATGAGCCCACTTCTATTTTTACACATAGCAGGATCATGATATATTTAAAAATGCACCTGCAAATTTAGTTCTCCCCTTTTGGGCAATTTGGTACATGCTGGTTGGCAAAAATTAATGCAATTTCTGCCTGGTAGAAAAAGAAAGTGTCTACCCAGGAAAGAGGCTCCCTTCCAGGAAACAGAAATAAATTAAAATAACCCTCCCTGTTATGTCCTGAGCCTTGCAAGCAGGCTCGGGGCATTGCAGGCGGTCCCGGGCAGGTGCAAGCTGCCCGGGACCAGACAGGCTGTCGCCAGTGTTTGTGCGCATGTGCAAGTACTGGCGCGCGAAAAGTAACACATTGACCCGGGAAAGTCCTATAAAAGGAGGCCGCGAGTTTTGGGCATTTGCCGCCATATTCCAATGTAAGCTGAACTGAAGAATAAAGGTTTCCTGAGAACTACAACTGCTTCTCGTGTCTTACCATTTTGCGATGGACTCAACACTGGCGATGAGGATGGGATTGCCTTACATCGGAAAAGAGAAGGTGTAAGCTTACCCGAGTGAGTCCGGAGCGGCAGGGACGGCGTTGACTCGGCAGCTACCCGCCAATCCAGCGTGCATTCGGGGATAGGCTGGCTGATAGACCCTTCCTGATACGAAATGGCGAAAATTGGAAGGCTTTCGGAATTCGACGTCTCACATCCAGAGAGGTGGGAGTCCTACCCAGCCAGGGTGGAAAACTACCTCAAAGTGAACCAGGTGAGGGAAGAGAGCTTGAAGGCTGCCACCCTGCTGTGCGTTTGCGGTCAAGACGCATTCAAAATCGTGGAGAACCTCGCAGCACCTGTTCCTTTAGAGTCTGTCAGCTACGCAGATCTAAAGAAGTTACTGAAGGAGCACTTCCAACCTAAGATGTCCGTCATCACATGGCGCCACACCTTCGAGCAGAGGGATCAACGACCTGGAGAATCGGCCAAGGAGTACATCGCCGCACTGAGGAAAGCCGCCAAACATTGCGAGTTCAAAGACCTCGAAGAATGATTGAGGGACCGGTTCGTATGCAGGCTAAGGCATCGAGAGTTGCAACAGAGACTTTTCGCCAAGGACTTGTCCTTCCAAGATGCCTTGAGAGAGGTCACCGCAGAAGAAGCAGCGGGTGGCGCCATCAAGAACATGCGGCCGATCAGAAACAGCCCAGATGCTGCATCCGTGCACCAGGAAGAAGTCCAAAGGAACTCCGAGGAGGATCCGGAAGAGGAAGTGGACCGTCTCCACCCCACAAAGGAAGGAAAACCAAGAGGAAGCTCTTCAGCTCTCCCCAAGTGCATCGGTTGTGGAGGTCGCCACAAGAGAGCCGACTGCAAGTTCCGCTCCGCTATCTGCCGGGCATGCGGAAAACAAGGACACATTGCAGCTGTGTGCCTGGGCCGCCAGAAGGTACAACCTCAGGAAGAATTGCGCCTGAAAGGTACCAGGGTCCCCAGCCAGAATAGGGTGGGGTTTTGCGCTTCGCGAAGAAGCATCTACAGGACAGGCACACACAAGCCCATTAAGAAAAAGCTGTCACTTAAGGTGAAGCTACAAGGGGTTCCATTAACTATGGAACTGGACACGGGGTCTGCACTTTCGATCATTTCTATGCACACATTTAGGAAGATTTGTTCTGGTAGTGGAACTCAGGCCAAGCTGAGGCCTTCTGATATTGTGTTAACAGACTTTCAAAACTCCAGAGTGTGTGTTAAGGGGGAGGCCACCCTTAACGTACAGTATAAGGATTTTGAAGGTCCACTAGACATATTAGTAGTAGGGGGTGAACGAACGAGTCTCATAGGACTCGATTGGTTTGAGGCCTTGGGAATACACGTCACAGGGCTCAACAGCCTACAAACACTCGACCTACAGGAAGTCTGCAAGGAATTTGCAGATGTTTTCAGCCCCCAGCTGGGCACGTTCAAAGGACCTCCTGTGTCCTTAAAGCTAGACCTCACTATCACTCCCATTAGAATTAAAGCAAGAAAGGTCCCTTTTGCTTTAAAGAGTAAAATTGACACTGAATTGGATAAACTGATCCAACAAGGAATTCTAGAACCAGTTGACTCCAGTCCATGGGAGACCCCCATTGTCATGCCTCTTAAGGCAAATGGGGACATTCGCATCTGTGCTGATTACAAATGCACTCTAAATAAGGCATTGCAGCAACATGCCTACCCTGTTCCTGTGGTCAGTCATATCCTGGCCTCCCTCAAGGGGGGGCGCGTTTTTGCAGAGCTTGACCTAGCTCAAGCATATCAACAGCTGCCTGTTGATGATGATGCTGCTATAGCTCAGACTATTGTGACCCACAGAGGGGCTTTCAAGGTAAAGAGACTTCAATTTGGAGTAAATGTCGCTCCTGGGATTTTCCAAAGCGTAATGGAAAACACAGTACGGGGTATACCAGGGGTTTGCCCCTATTTTGATGATGTCTTAATTGCAGGAGACTCCACACACATTCTAGCTGAAAGGCTAAGGGCTGTCCTATTACGGTTCAGGAAAACAGGACTCAAACTCAAGAAGGACAAGTGTAAAATTGGGGTGCCTTCTACTGAGTTTCTGGGGTTCAAAATTGATGCTGCTGGGATTCATCCTGCTGAATCCAAACTAAAAGCCATTATGCAAGCCCCTAGGCCAAAGTCTAAGGCCGAACTACAGGCTTTTCTGGGCCTTCTGAATTTCTACAATTCCTTTCTTCCACATAAGGCTAGTGTAGCTGAGCCTCTTCACAGGCTATTAGATAAACAGACAGCGTGGCAGTGGTCACAGACACATGAGGCAAGTTTCAATGAGGTCAAGGCCTTGCTCACTTCTAACAGTGTACTTGCTCACTTTAATGAGTCCCTTCCTGTGTGCATCGCTTGTGATGCTTCCCCTTATGGGGTAGGTGCTGTTCTGAGCCACCTCAGGTCTGATGGAACTCAGGTTCCTGTTGCATATTACTCCAGAACATTGTCTTCAGCTGAGCGCAACTATGCTCAAATAGACAGGGAGGCCTTAGCTGTTGTTGCAGGAACTAAAAAATTCCCTGATTTTTTATATGGTAGGCATTTCACGGTCTTCACTGACCATAAGCCTTTGCTGGGACTGTTTACCACACGTAAACAAACTCCCCAAATCATCTCCCCCAGGATGCTCAGGTGATCTATCTTTTTGTCTGCATATGATTTTTCCCTACTTCACAAGCCTGGGAAGGAAATGGGCCATGCTGATGGCCTCAGTAGATTACCCCTGCCGGTAATAGAGGCTGACCCCATGCCAGCCATCAATATTCTCTTTATTCAAGCCTTGCCCGAGTCCCCTCTGAATGCCAGGGATGTAGCCGCTGAATCAGGCACAAATCACACACTTTCACGTGTCCTTTCTTGGGTTTTGTCTGGATGGCCTGAGCACTGTCCTAGTCCTGAGTTTCAGAGTTTCTGGTCTAAAAGGAACGAGTTGTCCACCTCTCAGGGTTGTCTGCTTTGGGGAAGCAGAGTTGTCATCCCCACCTCAATGAGGACTAGGGTCTTAGATTCCCTCCACGAGGGTCATCCTGGCATTGTACGAATGAAGGCTCTTGCACGCAGCCACTTGTGGTGGCCAGGTGTAGACAAAGACATAGAAGCTAAGGTGCATGCTTGCCACCTTTGTCAACGCTCACGCCCTGAAATGCCCCAAGCTCCTGTGCATAGATGGGAGGAAACACAGTCTCCATGGTCTAGGGTGCACATTGACTACGCTGGGCCCTTTCAGGGTCAATTCTTCTTGGTCCTCGTTGACAGCCATTCAAAATGGCTTGAGGTTGTACCTGTCTCTTCCACCACCACTGCAAAGACTATTCAGGTACTGAGGGGGATTTTTGCTG